AATCTTGATTGCAGCATCTCCAATCAAGTGCCACCTCACAGTGCAGTGCTTGTGAGTGCAGTGCGTGTTTATCCCTTCAGGTGTCCAACATCTGCTGGGCATGCTGGCTCTGTGCAGTGCCTGCTGCTGGCAATCAGGGGGACCAAGCAAAAAAGATGGAAGACTCTGGGAGCCAAACCAAGCAGGGGCCACCTGTACAATTCCTTTACTTTTACCAGGGAGTCCGCCTGAGCCCCCACCAGACGCTGAACCTACTGGTGCCTTGATCATGGGCTTCCCAGCCTCTGGAATTGGGAACAAGAAATTTCTATTCTTTGTAAGTTTCCCAGTCTCCAGTGCCTTGACTTTGAGCTTCCCAGCCGCCAGAATTGGGAGCAATACATTTCTGTTCTTTGTAAGTTACCCAGTCTCAGGTATCTTGCTACAGCAGTACAAATGGGCTAGACACACCGGCAAGTCCACCTCACCTTCTGGGGCTCTAGCTTGCCATCTGGGGAGGGAGCCCCTGATGCCCAAAAGCAAAGACTCAGACCAGCATTTCTCACGTGCCGACACATACTGATGCTGCCAATAAGAATATGAGAATATAAATGGAGGGCATGTGATTTGTGTGTCCCAGCAGAGGGGGCCTATGGGAGGAGGGGACAGTTCAGCAGAGACATGGAGGAGGAGGAGGAGGGGGAGGGAGAGGAGGAGGAGGGTGAGGAGGAAGAGGAAGAGCAGGAGGAAGCTGCTGCCACAGCAGGTTCTTGGGGCCGATGGCTCACACAGAGGAAGGAGGGATGGCAAAGGCCGAAGGTGGGAACAAGCCCTGTGCTGCGGGGTCAGCTGAACAGGCCAGATTGGCAGGAGTGTGGTGAGAGGAGCTGGGGGCATGGCGACACGGGGTGGATTTTGGGGAGGGAAGGAGAGCATCAGAGGAAGCCAGATCCCCAGGAGCAGCGTGGGGGTGCTCTTGACCAGGATGGGGGCTTTGAGATTACTCTAAGGAGATGGGGTGCCACAGGGAGGAGCAGGGTCTGGTGGTGTTGCAAAAAGATCACCCTGGCTGCTGAGGGGGTGTTGGTGGAGCAGGGAGGACGCAGAGTGGAGGCAGGAAGAACAGGAGACAGGGAGGACCAAGGACCACGGAGATGAGAAGGGTAGCAGCCTTGGACCAGAGTCAACAAAATCCAATAATGGGTTAGATTTGGGAGTGAGGAACAAAGGAGAGGGGAGAGAATCCTGGCTGCTTTGTTTGAGTCACCAGGTAGAAGGCAGAGCCCTTTGCATAGAGGGGGAAGCCTGGGGACAGTGGAGGTGAAGGGGACGAAGCCCTCCGGTTTGAACATCTGAGCTCTGAAATGTCCTCGGGGCATCCACGTGGGCAGATGGATGAGTACGTGTGGAGCTTGGAAGACAGGTCACGTCCAGAGACAGAGCATTCATCGGAGGTTGAGGCTAGGAGCTCACCCCCACCACGCTTAGACCCAGCAAAGTAGGAGGAGGAGGAGGAAGGTCCAAAGGCAGAGAGGCAGGTAGAGAGGGAGGAGGTCAGCCCAAAAGTGGAGTGGGGGAGAGGAAGAAGTTGAGAAAGGAAATGGTTTTGAGAAGGAAGGAGAGTCAACTGTGTTGAGAGGTGGAGACAATGGGGACAGAGGACTGACAAAAGAAAGATAGTTGAGGTGTCACAGCCCAGCCTTGGCCGGGGTTAGCGGGGGGCAATGGGCGTCCTGGAGCGTCCTGGACTTGGAGTCAGCAGGTGCAGAAGGAAGGAGAGTGGGAAGAGACAAGGCCGAAAACTAGAGGAAATTAGTTGAGAGCCGGCCTGTGGGCCGACTGGGCCAGTTGGAGACACCAGACCCACAGATGTTCCCAGGGCGGGGGCCGGCCGGGGGGGTTCAGTGCTCTCTCTGAAGAAGGAATCCAGAAAAGTCACAGCTGAAAACAAGAGAGAGGACAATGTCTGGTGTAAGCCGTGACAAGTCTAACACTGAAGGTTCAATAGACAAGACACTCTCACAGCAGAGGTAAAGAGCAGCAGTTTGCCTGAATGAGAACAAGCAGTCTTGGCCCTCAAGGGGGAGAAGCGTTGGGGCGGGGGGACCGGCGGGGGGGGCCTGGGAGGACTGGACACACGAGGACAACCGGGGAGGCTGGTTTGTGGCAGAAGACATGCGTTTCTTCGCTGACCTCACGTTTACTACCTGGGAGATAGAAAAGCCTGGGGAGCAAGACCATGCCAACCTAAGTACCACACAGAGAGGGAGCCTCCCTATAAGAAAATGGTATCTATTCAGAAATAGGCGTTGCAGTGGGGACGCGTGCGCCCTAGTGAACTATGTGCATATTCAGGCAGGGAAAAGGAAGACAAAGGTTTTTCAGGAAAAGTGAAGAGGATTACATAATTGTTTTGAGATAATGATCTTTGGCTACAAGGATGAATAACAAGGGTAGCATTGGTCAGGGGCTTGGACAGGAAGTTGCTGGGCAGGTGTCCTCGCAGAAGCATTATTTGTGTCAGGTTGCAACAGCCTTTGTGCGAATTTGTGGGTTTTGCGGTCTTCTGTGATGGCTTTTGTTATCAGGCATTCGTGCATGGGAACCCTGCCTCCATGGCCCTCCACAGCTCTATTTGTCAGGTTTTTGGATTTTTGTTTGCTTGAACAACAAGTGACTCCATCTTGATTCTGAAACGTTTCACAACCATACGGGCGAGCCAAAGTCTAATTGTGAGGCCCACTCCAATGCGACCTGCTTCTGGGCAACGTGATAGACTGGCCATGGCTTATATCACAAAAGGAGAAAGGCTTCGATCTTGACGCTAGGAACTTTCTCCTGGAAACGGGCTGATGACGCCTGTCACCTGTAAGATGAGCAGGAAAGGAGCAAAGGAGATTCACAGAAGAGGAACCGGGAACGGCCAGTGAGAGACCTCGTCACCGATCGGGGAAACGCAAGGCACACAGCGATGAGGTGGTGTCTCTCCCTGTGGGATGGGCAAGTGAGCGAGGCTGGACAAGACCAAAGGCTGCTCGGGCTGTGGGAACCCAGGACCGCTCCCACGCTGCCAGTGGGAGGAAACATGGGTTCGGCCACGCACCGGAGGTCACAGATGAGCAATGCTTGGTCGTGGCGTTGATGGGCACAGCCCAAGTCCCAGCAGAGCCACTGCCGGCTGTGCACCCCAGAGCCTTTCTCGCTGACGGTGGTGGCTCAGACAGGCATGCGGGATGCCACGGGCAGCAGTGTCTGCAACAGCCAAACAGTGGGAAGGACCCGAATGTCCATCCATAGGGTCACAGACAAACACTCTGGGCTTTGATTCAGCTTGGGCGAGCTGGAAGCTTGGGGGAAACCTTGGCCAGCAAGTTGCCAAACAGGAGGCCAGGCAAGGAAAGAGAAGGGGATGAGGGAACGACACCCAGAGGTGTGACCCCGTGGGAACCTGTTTGCCACCTGTCTGGTGGAGATGCTGTTCACATGGCCCCAGACTCCCGTGATGGGTCAGGTGCATGGTCGTCAGATCCACAGGCACAGAATCTCTGCTTTGAGCCAGGCTGCTCTGCCCTGGTGCAGCGTCTAGCCCCGGCAGCAGAGGACTGGTGAAAAACCTATGGAAGGCTGACTCAGGCCTGACAGACGGAGGTCTCCAGGGAGGTACCGCACCCATGCTAGCCTCAGGGCCAAGAGAGGCCATCAGGCTGGTGAGGGCACTGGGGGCAGGGGACAAATTGAGTAGTCCACTCCCCGAAGACTACCTTTCCAGACACACATTCGGGCAGAGACCCAGACTTGGGACTTGAGGCTGCAAAACGGACAAGGCCCGGGCATACTTGGGTGCTGGGTCACCCTCCCCGGTGCTGGCTCCTGGCACCAGGGCCGCGAAGTGCTTTGGCTGGAGGGCTGTGGGTCCCTGGAGCGGGATGGGCAGCGGGGAGATGGCAGACCCTCCGTGGGTGGTGTGCGTGAGCCGCGTGAGCGCCTGGGGCATCTCCTCACGGAATGGCACCCGCACCAGGTGCCCCTGGCGTCGCCTGGCTTCGCCAGCCAGAGGACCAGTCCTGGACGGGCAGGGGGAGGACAAGAGCCGGTGAACAGGCCCCAGAACCCAGCTCCTTGACCCTGGCCAGAACGCAGAGCTGCCGGGCGCACCTCAGATAACTCCCTGGCCCTCTGGTGGGCACGCCGGGGTGCAGCCTCCTGGCCCCGCTGGCGCCTCTGGGGCACGCGCGGGAGGGGCAGAGGCCTGAACCAGGAACAGCTGTTGTGAGAGCCAAAGGCGCGGGGACCTGCGGCCCACCGACCTTTGGACACCCCGGTGGGGGTGGGGGGTGGGCTGGCTCCTGTGTTCTCGGGACCCGTGGCGCAAGGGGAGTGGGGGCGGGGCTAGGGGACAGGAGCAGGTGACGTCACCTGGGGTCCCGGGGCGCTCGAGACGGCGGCGAGAGCCAGGCCACGTGACCTGCCCGCGCCAACCGCCCTGCGCTCTCCCGGGCCGGCGACGCGGAAGGGTCCGCGCTGCACCGCCGCCGCACCCCCTCCCGGTGACCGCACTGCAGAGAGCGGCTGCGAGCAGGCGCCGGCGCACTGGCCCACGTGCCGAGCGAGCGAGGAAGAGGCACAGTCAGAGCGAACGCCCGCGCGGGGAACGAGGGGCGCCAGACCCCGCCGCCGAGGCAGCGGCGCGCAGCCCCCCGACGCGCCCTGTGGGGACCCCGACCAGGAGGGACCCTGCCCCGGGAAAAGGTATCAGACCCACCAGGGGAGGGGGACGCTGGGTCCCGGGAGAGACTCCACCGCCCCTCGCCTGTCCGCCCTAACAGAACGGAAGCAGCCTGCCGGGAAGGGGTCTGGGGTCCGGGGTTCGGGGGCGGCGCAGGGATGAGGCCAAGACCTGCAGGGACCCGCCCCCCCCCGGGGTGGGCGGGGCCTGGCTGCAGAGGCGCGGCCAGGGGAGGAGGGTGGCTGGGGAGGGGGGTGGGGGTGGACGTGGACGTGGGCGTCGGGAGGGGTGGGCATTAACCTCGCTCTCGGCCGCTCGCATTCACAGGCTGTGGAGACCCGGGCTGTTCTCCCTGAGTCCTAGGCTCCCACCTCAATTCATTGCCCCACACCCCCGCCGCCCTGTGCCTCCCTGGTCCGAGCTGGGAACCCTATCCTGCCCCTCGTATCAGCCCGGCACTGGCCAGAATTGCGGGCATGGCGGTGAAGATGCTGCAGGACTGGTGCAGGTGAATGGGGGTCAACGCTCGCAGTGGTCTGCTCATCCTGGGCATCCCGGAGGACTGTGATGATGCCGAATTCCAAGAGTCCCTCGAGGCTGCCCTGTGGCCTATGGGACACTTCACGGTGCTAGGCAAAGTGTTTCGAGAGGAGCCACCGCGGCCCTGGTCGAGCTCAACCGGGAAGTCAACTATGCTTTGGTCCCCAGGGAAGTCCCCGGCACGGGAGGCCCGTGGAACGTGGTCTTTGTGCCCTGTTGCTCAGGCGAGAAGTTTCTCGGTCTCGGTCGTGTGTTCCACTTCCCGGAGCAACAGGGGCAGATGGTGGAGAGCCTGGCCGGCGCCCGGGGCGTGGGGCTGCGCAGGGTGTGCTGGCTCTGATCCATCGGTCAGGTGGTCCAGCCCTGGGTGGAGACCGTGAGGTACGAGAGCCTGGGCGTGTTTTCCGGGAGGGACCAGCCAGCCCCAGGGGAGGAGTGCTTTGAGGTCTAGCTAGACCACACCACCTATATGCTGCATGTGTGGCAGGGGTTCTCGGAAAAGGAGAGGAGGAGGAGGCTGCTGGAAGGCTTGCGTGGGACCGCCCTGCAGCTCGTGCACGCTCTCCTGGCGGAGAACCCCGCCAGGACGGCGCAGGACTGTCTGGCGGCCCTGGTCCAGGTGTTTGGAGACAGTGAGTCCCAGGTGACCATCCTGGTGAAGTGTCTGACCGCTCAGCAGCAGTCAGGCGAGCATCTGTCGGCTTTCGTGTTGCGGCTGGAAGTCCTGCTGCAGAAGGCCATGGAGAAGGAGGCCCTGGCCAGAGCATCTGCCGACCGCGTGCCCCTGAGGCAGATGCTCACCAGGGCCCACCTTACTGAGCCTCTGGATGAAGCACTGAGGAACCTGAGAATGGCCGGGAGGTCTCCAAGTTTCCTGGAGATGCTGGGGCTCGTTCGGGAGTCTGAGGCATGGGAGGCCAGTCTAGCCAGGAGCGTGAGAGCCCAGGCACAGGAAGCAGCCGGTGCCTGGGCTGATGCCCAGGCTATTGCCAGAGCCCACGCTAAAGTAGAGGCGGTCCCAGGAGGTCCAGGCAGGGGGCCAGAGGGCCTCGTCCAGGCAGGGGGCCAGGAGGCTGAGGAGCTCCTCCCGGAGGGGCTCAAGCTGGTCCTGGAGGAATGTGATAACTAGGTTGGGGCTGGGGAGGCAGCCCAGCGTGAGTCCTCCCTGGGCAAATAGGCTCCGAGGACTCCTGGGCCTCCTCCTCTCAGGCAGCAGCGCCCTGGAGACAGGCAGAGGTGGGGCCAGGGCCAGTCCCTCACCCCACATGGGGATCAAGGGTCCCCCACTTCCCCCCAAGGGGCCCTGGCCACCACCACCCTCCCGGCGACACCTTCCCGGTCACCTTCCCAGTGACCCAGATGACCATGTTTGATATCAAATGGGTTGGGGGAAGGTGCCCCTCCAGTGCACCCAGTGCCACACCCAGCCCCAGCCCCAAACCCTCCTGCCTCTGAGGGGACCAGCCTGGAGGGACCCCTGAGCGGCCAGCCACGGCCTGGGTGGGGGCACCTGAAGATGTCCGCCCCCCACCTCTTGTCCTGGTTTCAGAGACAAGCTCCTTGCTGAATCACAGCCCAGAGTGTTTGTCTGTGACCCTATGGATGGACATTCGGGTCCTTCCCACTGTTTGGCTGTTGCAGACACTGCTGCCCGTGGCATCCCGCATGCCTGTCTGAGCCACCACCGTCAGCGAGAAAGGCTCTGGGGTGCACAGCCGGCAGTGGCTCTGCTGGGACTTGGGCTGTGCCCATCAACGCCACGACCAAGCATTGCTCATCTGTGACCTCCGGTGCGTGGCCGAACCCATGTTTCCTCCCACTGGCAGCGTGGGAGCGGTCCTGGGTTCCCACAGCCCGAGCAGCCTTTGGTCTTGTCCAGCCTCGCTCACTTGCCCATCCCACAGGGAGAGACACCACCTCATCGCTGTGTGCCTTGCGTTTCCCCGATCGGTGACGAGGTCTCTCACTGGCCGTTCCCGGTTCCTCTTCTGTGAATCTCCTTTGCTCCTTTCCTGCTCATCTTACAGGTGACAGGCGTCATCAGCCCGTTTCCAGGAGAAAGTTCCTAGCGTCAAGATCGAAGCCTTTCTCCTTTTGTGATATAAGCCATGGCCAGTCTATCACGTTGCCCAGAAGCAGGTCGCATTGGAGTGGGCCTCACAATTAGACTTTGGCTCGCCCGTATGGTTGTGAAACGTTTCAGAATCAAGATGGAGTCACTTGTTGTTCAAGCAAACAAAAATCCAAAAACCTGACAAATAGAGCTGTGGAGGGCCATGGAGGCAGGGTTCCCATGCACGAATGCCTGATAACAAAAGCCATCACAGAAGACCGCAAAACCCACAAATTCGCACAAAGGCTGTTGCAACCTGACACAAATAATGCTTCTGCGAGGACACCTGCCCAGCAACTTCCTGTCCAAGCCCCTGACCAATGCTACCCTTGTTATTCATCCTTGTAGCCAAAGATCATTATCTCAAAACAATTATGTAATCCTCTTCACTTTTCCTGAAAAACCTTTGTCTTCCTTTTCCCTGCCTGAATATGCACATAGTTCACTAGGGCGCACGCGTCCCCACTGCAACGCCGATTTCTGAATAGATACCATTTTCTTATAGGGAGGCTCCCTCTCTGTGTGGTACTTAGGTTGGCATGGTCTTGCTCCCCAGGCTTTTCTATCTCCCAGGTAGTAAACGTGAGGTCAGCGAAGAAACGCATGTCTTCTGCCACAAACCAGCCTCCCCGGTTGTCCTCGTGTGTCCAGTCCTCCCAGGCCCCCCCCGCCGGTCCCCCCGCCCCAACGCTTCTCCCCCTTGAGGGCCAAGACTGCTTGTTCTCATTCAGGCAAACTGCTGCTCTTTACCTCTGCTGTGAGAGTGTCTTGTCTATTGAACCTTCAGTGTTAGACTTGTCACGGCTTACACCAGACATTGTCCTCTCTCTTGTTTTCAGCTGTGACTTTTCTGGATTCCTTCTTCAGAGAGAGCACTGAACCCCCCCGGCCGGCCCCCGCCCTGGGAACATCTGTGGGTCTGGTGTCTCCAACTGGCCCAGTCGGCCCACAGGCCGGCTCTCAACTAATTTCCTCTAGTTTTCGGCCTTGTCTCTTCCCACTCTCCTTCCTTCTGCACCTGCTGACTCCAAGTCCAGGACGCTCCAGGACGCCCATTGCCCCCCGCTAACCCCGGCCAAGGCTGGGCTGTGACACCTCAACTATCTTTCTTTTGTCAGTCCTCTGTCCCCATTGTCTCCACCTCTCAACACAGTTGACTCTCCTTCCTTCTCAAAACCATTTCCTTTCTCAACTTCTTCCTCTCCCCCACTCCACTTTTGGGCTGACCTCCTCCCTCTCTACCTGCCTCTCTGCCTTTGGACCTTCCTCCTCCTCCTCCTACTTTGCTGGGTCTAAGCGTGGTGGGGGTGAGCTCCTAGCCTCAACCTCCGATGAATGCTCTGTCTCTGGACGTGACCTGTCTTCCAAGCTCCACACGTACTCATCCATCTGCCCACGTGGATGCCCCGAGGACATTTCAGAGCTCAGATGTTCAAACCGGAGGGCTTCGTCCCCTTCACCTCCACTGTCCCCAGGCTTCCCCCTCTATGCAAAGGGCTCTGCCTTCTACCTGGTGACTCAAACAAAGCAGCCAGGATTCTCTCCCCTCTCCTTTGTTCCTCACTCCCAAATCTAACCCATTATTGGATTTTGTTGACTCTGGTCCAAGGCTGCTACCCTTCTCATCTCCGTGGTCCTTGGTCCTCCCTGTCTCCTGTTCTTCCTGCCTCCACTCTGCGTCCTCCCTGCTCCACCAACACCCCCTCAGCAGCCAGGGTGATCTTTTTGCAACACCACCAGACCCTGCTCCTCCCTGTGGCACCCCATCTCCTTAGAGTAATCTCAAAGCCCCCATCCTGGTCAAGAGCACCCCCACGCTGCTCCTGGGGATCTGGCTTCCTCTGATGCTCTCCTTCCCTCCCCAAAATCCACCCCGTGTCGCCATGCCCCCAGCTCCTCTCACCACACTCCTGCCAATCTGGCCTGTTCAGCTGACCCCGCAGCACAGGGCTTGTTCCCACCTTCGGCCTTTGCCATCCCTCCTTCCTCTGTGTGAGCCATCGGCCCCAAGAACCTGCTGTGGCAGCAGCTTCCTCCTGCTCTTCCTCTTCCTCCTCACCCTCCTCCTCCTCTCCCTCCCCCTCCTCCTCCTCCTCCATGTCTCTGCTGAACTGTCCCCTCCTCCCATAGGCCCCCTCTGCTGGGACACACAAATCACATGCCCTCCATTTATATTCTCATATTCTTATTGGCAGCATCAGTATGTGTCGGCACGTGAGAAATGCTGGTCTGAGTCTTTGCTTTTGGGCATCAGGGGCTCCCTCCCCAGATGGCAAGCTAGAGCCCCAGAAGGTGAGGTGGACTTGCCGGTGTGTCTAGCCCATTTGTACTGCTGTAGCAAGATACCTGAGACTGGGTAACTTACAAAGAACAGAAATGTATTGCTCCCAATTCTGGCGGCTGGGAAGCTCAAAGTCAAGGCACTGGAGACTGGGAAACTTACAAAGAATAGAAATTTCTTGTTCCCAATTCCAGAGGCTGGGAAGCCCATGATCAAGGCACCAGTAGGTTCAGCGTCTGGTGGGGGCTCAGGCGGACTCCCTGGTAAAAGTAAAGGAATTGTACAGGTGGCCCCTGCTTGGTTTGGCTCCCAGAGTCTTCCATCTTTTTTGCTTGGTCCCCCTGATTGCCAGCAGCAGGCACTGCACAGAGCCAGCATGCCCAGCAGATGTTGGACACCTGAAGGGATAAACACGCACTGCACTCACAAGCACTGCACTGTGAGGTGGCACTTGATTGAAGATGCTGCAATCAAGATTCATAGAAGGCTCTGGGTTGCTTGGTGGCCAGACGCCTCCATAGAGCACCTGCTGTAGTACTGGCTCTTGAGAACCAAGTCCCAAGGACAGCCAGCCTTGCTGAGTGCCTCCAACACAGATCTGGATGCAGAGGAGGTCTCCTTGTGTGGTTCTCCCCACCTGGCTGCCTCCCAGCTGGCTGACCTCAGACATGTCCCTTAGAACCTCCACAGGTTGAGTGGGAGCATTGTCTGCTCCCGAACCAGAAAGGGCTTCTTTGCTGTGCACCACAATGTCCGAGAGCCCAGACTCTGCACAACCAACGGAAGCCCTCCTGTGTCCTCCAGGGACAGCCTGGGGCTCCTCTCTACTGTCCTATCTCAGGCAGGGCCAAAGCTTCCCAATCTGTGGCTTTGGGCCAGCTCCCCACCGGCCGCGGTGGGCTCTGACTGCTCAGAAGCGTCCTTTCCCCAATGCCCTCTTTGATTCTGCTCCCAACGGCTCTCTGCCCTGCCCAGAGCCCACAATAGGCCCTTGGGCGGCCAGGCTAGCACCTGCCTCCTGCCATATGACCCTGCCGTTCCCTGACTGGCTGCCCCCACCTGGGGCAGGAGGAGCAGTACTTCCTCAGCTTTTGTCTGGCTGTGCCCCACCCCACACACACCGAAGCACATACACACACACACACACACACACACGCATGCACACACACGCACGCACGCGCACGCGCACACAACCTGCCCTGCCCCTAGCCTGCCCTCTGCAGCCTCACAGGTGCAGGTGGCTCCTTCCCAGCTAGCAGGGTTTTCTGAGGGACAGCCCGATGTGGCACGCCATGCTTCCCAGACTCAGGGTCCTGCTGGGCTGAATAAGTGTGAGCTTGTTCTCCGTTGGTCCTTGACACAGCTGTCTGCCTGTGGCACAGTCTTCAACTCGTTGAAGTCCCTCTGGAGGAGCGTGGGTTGGGGAGAAGAAGGCGTTGGTTGCTTTGGGGATGTCAGGCTGCCACACTGTGTTGTACTGGGCAGCGTCCCTCTTGGGGGCTGCATTGTCCAATAGAAACATTATGCGAGACGTTTATGTGTTTTCAAAATCTTCTAGTAGCCTTATTTAGAAGAATTTTGCCTTATTTAAAAGAAACTAGTGAAATTAATTTTAACGATGTGTTCTATTTAGCTCAACATATCCAAAAGTGTTATCATTTCAATGACTCACTAGTATAATAAGTTACCGATTCGATAGTTTACCTTCTTTTTTTGCAATAACTCATCGCTCATGGTTTCTTTCTCCTCTCCCAGCACTGCCTTCCCAGTGTTCGCCATTCCATAAAAGGATGATCCAGAAGAAGAGGGAAGGCTGATGGACTGACAGTCTGTTCAGCGGTGACCTGGGGTTTGTTTTTCCTCCTGAAGGACTCCGTCAACTCTTTTGGGAATGCACTGTCCTCCCCTGCCCTGGAGTGTCTGCTGAGCTATTATAGTTTCTCCCCAGGAGCTTAAGCCTCAAGTCTCTCACTTCTGTCAATTGCCCATCTCAGAGGAAGGTGGGCACAATAGAATGTCTGACTGAAATTTTCTCCTTTCCACCTGCCATTTGATCATTCATCACACCTTTGAGACCTGCTCTGTGCTTGAGAATTTTCTACTATGCTAAGTGTGAGACCCAGCCCAGGCCATCAGGGAGCTTAGGGTCTTTTCAGGCAGGGGATGTGGGACAAGCCATGAGCATAAAATGATGAAATGACAATAAACTGCAAAATCAACTGCCCATATCAGAAGTTTAAACAGGAAGTGATATCAGGGACAAAAGAAGGAGAAATGCATACTGCATTTGGACACTTGGAAGTGAGAGGCAGCGGCTTTCCAGGCTAGAGGAGAGCAAAGGCTTAGGGACAGAAATGAGCACAGCCTTTTCAGGGACTAGTGAGAGACAGGCTAGGGTCAAAGGTGTGTTGGGGCAAAGGTCCAGGTTTCATGCACACAGTGAACCTAGGTGTTATCTACACCCTTTGAAAAAAAATGTTTGTATTTTGGTAAAATACACATAACATAAAGTGTACCGTCTTAACTCTTTTTAAGTGTACAGTCCAATATCATCAGCACATTCACAGTGTTGTGCAGCCATCATCACCATCCATCCATAGAACTTGTTCATCTCCCCAAACTGCAACACTGTCCTCATTCAATACCAACTCCCCAACTTCTTCCCCAGACCCTGGCACCCACAAGTCTACTCTCTGTCTCTATGGATTTGACCACTCTAGAGACCTCCTGTGAGTGGAAACCTATGCTATTTGTCCTTTTGTGTCTGGCTTCTTTCACTGAGTACAATGTCCTCAAAGTTGGTGTCCACATCGTTGGCTATCAATATCACTGGACAATAGTGTAGACATTGGGAAGTGGGGAAAATTTGCAGGTGAAGGTTGCTCTGTCATAGTGGTAATTTAGGGTAAGACTATAGGGTGTGTGGAGGAGGGAAGATCCAAAGTGACCCTATGTTTCGTTTTTACTTGGAAGACTAGCATAATAATGGTCCCCATGTGACTGAAGTGAGAAACCATTAGCTGGCCTTAGAAAGCCCATTATTATTGGAATAATCCATTATTTAGCACATTGGAAAGGTTTCAAAGACTGAATTAGCTGAACCATGCCAATATGTAAAAGCAAAAAGACAAAAAGCCCCCACTTTTTTCTGGCCAGTTAGCGCAGGTGGTTACTCCTGGATTCCTGGAGGGTTTTCCGTTGTCCAGTAATGGGCTGCAGCCTGCTCAGGCCTGTACAGAGACCCCAAGGAAACAGTTGGTTACTCTGTG